TCAGAAATGACAGGTTATCGGATATTACTTATGGAACCGACATGGTGGATCGAATTTTAATCGTTTATGGCAGGTTATCGGTTTTGACAGGATCGGTTTTGGGAGGGCCGACAGAATTTAAATGTCGAAATAGCACTACATCAATCACAACCTTGTTGTGAAATGATTCAACGTATAGTTTATAATTTTGATTTAATGTTTCTTTTGAACTAGATATGGATATACAAGAAAATAGCTTCTAAGCTTAAAATAATTAATAATTTTACAAATAATTATTAACCAGAAGAGGTACTATCTTTATCCTTTTTTTCAATTAATTCAATTAGTTTGTTAAATTTATCAATTGGACCTTTTAATGCTTCATCAATTTGAGCTTTTACTATATCTTTTAATGCTTCATCTATTTGAACTTTAAGTACATTATTCTGTGATTCATCAGCAACCTTAATAGATTCATCAGTTGAGTCTTTAGCAGAGTTTACAGTTGAATATTTAGTTTTAACAATTTTCCTGATCGCCGGCAATAAATTTTGTGCGATTTCCTCATTTTCTTCGTCAGTTTTTTTTACATATTTTTTTAGTTCATAAACTGATGCTTCATAATATCTAAATATTTAATTATATTGGCATACATTTAATAGTTATAAGATACGAAGTGCAAAATGACTGATGTATTTGTAAATATGATTTGATTGGTCAATTTAAACAAAATTTGATCAATCAGATACATATGCACATAGTGTTCTGATGCTAGGAAAACAAGATTGACTTCGCTAGTATTCTAAACATTATAGCGCCACAGCCATTAAATCACTTCATACTTAAATAATTGCATTATATTACATTTATATTTATTGGATTTTGCATTCCAGCAGTTATTGGCATTTGAGATTTTTAATTTTATGCGTGCGAATTCACAAATTGATCTTGCTATATTTAAATTTGTACAGGTTTAAGATAGACCAAATTTTAGATAACTGCAAAATCCCATAAATAAAAATGCGGAATAAATAAATAAAATAATTACAAAATATCTGGAAACCAATTTTTCTTTCTTCTTTGATGAGGAAGCATCCAAAAAAGTTCAATTTCAGCTAATATCTAATAATACATAATGTTATTATTTATAATATTTTTTAAATTATAATATATAAATAAAATTTTTACCTCTCCTCTTAGATGCAAAAACGATTCTTCATTATATGTAGTATCAATAGCATTTCCAAGTAATGAAATAAACAAATTCAATAAATAAATTGTTGTAAAAAATGAAAATATAGCTAATAAAATTGATAAAGTCCAATTTTTTGCTAATCCCCATGAAGAAACAGGACTTGAATCACCTTAAAAATAAATTAAATTAATTCTTTTAGTATATGATTTATTTAAAATTATTATTATATAATACCTGTTAACATAAAGTAAACTGCTAATAAAGAAGTACTAAACATCGAAAACAAGTTTGTATTTTCATCAGGAGTTTCAATAATTGCTGACCCTTCCACAGTACCATTAGGTGAAATAATTTTATATGATGGAACAAGATTCCAAGGATTATTATCATCATCAGTATAACTTGGTTGATCATAAGCATATTCACTAGTAGGTCTTAATAAAAGATGCAAAGAATGGGCAAAAGCCAAAACCATAATGCCTAAGACAACAAGAAAAGAAAATATTTGTTGTGCTACTCCAATCATAATTGCAAAATATGTTCCAAAATTTTCTAAAACACGGAAAAATAATAAAAATTTAAGCTCAAGTAAAAAAGCAGAAATAGTTACAATCCAAATTTGTGGTTTTTTATCATGTAACCATATAAGCGAAGTTATTGTTGGAGTTAATATAGCAGCAAGATCTATAATAAAATTATATTTAATATTTATGTATTATATATATTATATAAAATCCAATTATATGTTTTAAATATACCAAACCAATTCCAAGGACTAGCAATATATGATATTGGGTTGTGGATACATTGACGAACTTCATAAAGAAAATGACTAAGTCCAAAGATAATAGTTATTACTAAAAGAATTGATTGATTTTTCCAAGAAATATTGTTTTCGGGAATTGTTGAAGCTATTAAAAAACAGCACATAAAAATTGTATATATTGCCCAAATTACGCAATAATATCGTCTTCCATAAGTATTCCATTTGAAGTTAATAAGAGCTTTAATGTTCCACCATTTATAATAGTCAGATGAATCAAGTAAAGTAAAGGAATTATCCTCTAAATAAAATAATTCAAAATAAGAATATTCTTCAGGATATGTTGCAAACTTCAATAGAGGAATCATTAACTTTACAGTTTTGTGTGTATAAATGGTAAAATAGGACGAATAAACCGAATAAGGAACTTTCAAAACTTTATAAATTCGGGGATACTTCTTTTTTAAAAAGTTATATTTTTCAAAGACCCAAAAAAGTGTATAATCGAAAAGTGAAGTACTAAATAAATGAACATAAGTTCCACAATGTTGAAGATGAAGAAATTGAGAGGTATTATTTATAATCATTTTATCATCGTTAGAGACTAGTAAATTAGTTTTAGATAAAAAACCTTCTGTTACTCTTAGATTTACGTTATATTGTTCCAAATCTATGAGCGTAGAAGTAATTTGTTCTAAAAATATCATAGAGCTACAAATATCACTCTGAAGCATTGACAAGCTATGTTTATAACAATTATCAAGCAATTGTATAATTTTTCCTTCTTTATTTTTAGAAATTAATCCATATATTATATTTTTTCCATATAATTTTATCGCTGATTTATTATTTATCAAATAATCTAGATCATCATCATTAATCTCATCATTTGTCTCATTATCAAAAGTTGGTGGTGGTAAAAAGTCCAATTTCAACTGATTATAAAAAGAAGTAAGATATTTAATCATTGATACTGATTCTTTTTCCGTTCCTGGTTTATTTTGATTGCTCCAATAATAAATTAAGTTAATTGATTTTTTTTCAGAAGTTACTGTCCAGATTCGAATACCAGAAGAGGAAACAAATATCATATCTCCATTTTCAAGTGCCTTATATACTAATTTATTACGTGATTCAAAATCACGGCTAGCAGTTTCTTCCTTATCAGCTTCAAACCGGACTTTTAGGTCAGTTATATCTGTATTATGCACTGTAGTTTTTGTAAAAATCCAGGTATACGACCCTACTGGACATTGTGTGATTTCCTTAGGTTCCATTGATCTTTCTAACTCTTCTAACTGTTTTAGCTTTTCTAACTCTTCGAAATTTTTTAACTTTTCTAACTCTTCTAACTTTTTTAACTGTTCTGACTCTTCTAATACTTTAAACTTTTCTAACTCTTTTAATCTTTCTAAATTTTCTAAAATAGTTTGTATAAATTGTTTAATTTCCTTTACATTGAAAAATGTATCATCTATACAGTGCTCTTTATATTGTAAATGATTTTTCCAACCTTCATTTTGAGACAATCTTTGAATTGACAAATTATTACTGTTAATGTTTATAATATAATCAGAGATAATATTAATGGGGCCAAGTGATCGATAATTATGATATGTGGGAGAATAAATGTCGTGTAAGACGGTGCTTTGGAGCTCGAACATATAAGTTTGAGGATTCAGGATATAAGAATTATAATTATAATTCTCAATTTCAAATTGCGGGCCAGACAAAAACAAACGTTCTTCTTCTCTTGATCCAATAAAACAAAAATTATGAAGATTCTCCTTAAATTGTTCTAAATTTTAATTAAAATTATCTCATTATGTATTTATATTTCTAATAACTTTATACATGAAACACCTACTTTTTGCCATCATTATACCAGATTTTGTTGAATAAACGTAGACCACATTTTCTCCGTTATCTAGAAAACCTGCTACTGCTAACAACGTGTTAGAATCGTTCAGTTTCATTTCTAATAAATTCCTAAGTCCATATAAATCCCAATTTAGTATATACTGTCTCTCAAACTTTAGAGCAATTAAATTCCATTGCATGATTAGAAAGGGCGTTTCGAAAAGCATCAAGAACATTCCATTTGGAAAAATAGATGACTTAAAATATTTTTTAAGGTCGATGCAATTTTTGCATGTCCATTGTCGTTTGCTACTAGACTTTGAAAAGATATAGGCTCGACAAACTGGATCTCCTTTGATAACTACAAGATCTCCGTTTTCAAGAAAAGAAACATTAGATGTTTCTCCCTTCAAACCTTGAGCTTTCAATACGCGTCTTGATTTAGTTGGGATGTCAATAATTTCTGTTAAAATAAATTAATATAAATATGAAATTCAGTAATAAAAAAATCAACAATTTTAATTAATTTTAACACACCAAAATCGTAAGGGTCACTTCTATATTTTAATCTTAGTATGACTTGTTTACAGTCTGAGACTCCCATTAATGCATTATAGTACTGTATATCGGTGTTTAAAAACTTGAGTTTAACTGAATCATCAAACTCAGATATGAGTTCTTTTGTGATGTTCCATCCAAAAATTGATTGATTTTCATAACTCCAAGTAGCAATATATTGACCACTTGGTGAAATAACATATTGACTGATCGCACTTCCTTTATTGGAATCAATACCCCTTTCTCCATTAATCAAAATCTCAATTTGGTCATGACTTTCAATTAGTTGCTCTTCTGATCTTGAACTCATTTTAGGCAAGAATAATAATCGAACTATAATGAAAAAGTGATTGTAATATTGAACACATTATTCAATATTCAAAAATAGTCATGAATGTTTGTTTATTAGTAAAAATATATATCGCTATAATAAATCTCCTTAGCGAAACTACCGTAAGTTGCTTAGCAACTTTCCTAAATTGATATTATTGAGGCTTGATTGTTATCATAGATTCTTGTTTGTTTGTTTAGCGCATTGGAATCATTATTTATAATGTAGTGCTAAGTTATTTTTAAAGATGGCGAAGTTTATTATTTATGAGGCGTAGCTAGTGAAAATCTTGGATAAAGCCAATGTGATTTAGTAACGTAATAGGGCTGATGCATTATCGCATAAAACAAGCTATGTCAGATAAGGTTGGACCGATCTAAAAAATCGTAACGTGGTGACCAGATCGGCTCGTGTGAACAATTCAAGGGATTTGTAGTTACCACTGAGAATCCATGCGTTGCTTACCCATTTCAATAGAATTCGGATCGCATTCCGAGGCAAATTTTTGTTGCAAGTTTGTCATCAACTTTTTATTCTGTACTTTACTCATCAAATTAATTTGTACTAGTGTGACAAATGATGCGAAACAACCTAAATAGTAAAATGAATTATCCATTACGGAAAATTAGATAATTGGTTTAATTTCTAGTTCTAATGATTTCAGGACCAAAATACGTTGCGTTTAGTGCTAATAATTACAATCATTAAATTAACGGTTATGGATATTATAGAGTTCAATTATTGTTGTGACTTAAGCTAGAAATGGCTGAAGCTGGAAATTTTAAATATTTTTAATATGAAAATTTCAAAAATTTTTAGAGTGCATTTTTTTTTAGCTTTTTTTTATAGTTAACTTAAGATTAGGTTGGTTTTGATAATAAAAACGCATAAGTGGATTTTGGTAGGGTTTATATTTTAAATCGAGGTCAGTTTCAGTCATTTCCAGCTTCAACCGCGACAATTATTATTATCGATTAAACGAGGAATTATGTGGGGTCTTTGCTATGAATTTTTTTCTAAAAATAGATTTACTATGTTTTCTTAATAAAAATCTCGTGTGACAATGCTTCGGAGGGTTGTAATGAGCATGTTTTCTATAATTAGGATTCTCATTGAAAATAATTATTTGCATTAATATTATTAATATG